AGCTTCTCTGTTGTGGGAAGCTGGCAGAGAAGGTTGCAAATCACTATCACATGACCGCAGGATACTGCAACTGTTGTAAGTGCAAGCCGGTTGCCAAGCACCCAGATCATGATCACATGAACACAGGGCTGCTGGGATGGCCAGAACTTTGAGGATCGGTCATAACCACCACTTGTTTAGTGCTGTTGTAACTTCGAACAGTCACTGAATGAGTAGTCATTAAGGACTATCTGTACTGAAAAAATGAGCATAAAACTTGGAGATATTCCATGTCTGTTTTCTTGAGCAACTATTTTGCACTTGATTCTAAATGCTGAGATTTATAAAGTAACTCCCCTCCAAATTTAAAATCATACTTTGCAATTCGATTCATGCAAAGAATAAGACAGATCTTCATCTCAGGGCAGCAGTCAGTAGTAGATTATCACTGGTATGCGATTTAGTGAAGTCATTTTCACTTTCACACAGAATCATTTGATGCCTGAACTGGTTGTGAATTGCTTACAAGGCAAAATTTATGCTGTGGATATTGACCTTTAAAGCTCTAAGCAGCTTAGGGCCAGACTATCTAAGGGACTGCCTCTCTTATTATGTACTTGTCACATTATTAAGAACAATAGGGGAGGCCTTCTTGAATATATTCTCAATGTCAGGGAGTCAGTATTCTGGCATGTGGAAGAGGGCCTTTTCCTGTGTTCCTATGTTGTGGAATGCACCCTCTTGGAATTATTTAGGAAATCTATAGAAACATTTCTTCCCCAAGTGGCTAACCTCTTACAATTGATATAGTGGGTTTAATCATTCATATACATTATTTTTAATTAGTTTTTAAAACTTTTTTTATTTTAAAGTTTTGTTAGCTACTTTGACACCTACAGAGCAAAAAGGTAGGATATAAATCAAATTCAGTGAATGAAATAATTTTGGATTTTGATCATAAAGCTTAGATTTGCACCTTGAAATAGCTGGTTTTAAAAACACTTACCCTGTCTGGCCAGATTTCATATTGGCCATCCTGGATTCTCCCTTGGCTTGAAAAAAAGAACTTAGAAAATGGAACCTGTTGTTAAGAATTTACAGATTAGTTAAAAACAAATGTATTTAGGTATTTGCCAATATTTTCACACTGTTCATCATTTTCATTTTGTTTGTAGAACTTACAAACATTAATTTCCATATTCAGATTAACAAGCCATATAACTTTATTTTTTCTATTCTTATTAATGAAATTGTTACTTGCAAGATAAACAATGAGAAAATGAAATCTAACTAAATCTGGTTTACATCATTCATTATACCTCTCCAGACATTTCTATCCTTACAAACCATCTTGCTTCCACTCTATCAGTACAGAGATTCATCTTCGCAGCTCCTTTTCAGGATTTCATCAGTTCTAAAAACCAGAATTTTTCTGGTCTTCCTCTTCCTTTCAACACATTCATTTTTCCTTCATACATTTGTTTTGTTTTTTGATCAAACCACATCAACATACATCTTTTGTTATGATCACTCATATTTCTATTCAACATACATTCATTTGACATTCTTTCATTCTTGACTCTCGTTTTACCACACACACTTCTTAAGTAACCCATCTCTACAACAGTCAACCCATTTTTTATGTTTCTTCTGACATAACCAATTCTCACCTTCTTATATACAGCCATTTTCACTGCTTTTTGACTAGTAAATTGTCTCAATTGACTAGAGTTGTGTAGGCAATTGTATGCTAGAATAGTTTTCTTAAGAAAGCAAAATATTTCCAAGCCAAAAGTATTACAGCAACTGGAATAGCAGAACTATCAGCCTAGAAGGAACTGTTACCTATCATGGGTGGGTGGCAATTTGCCATTCTCAAACTCTTAAAAAAATCCAAGCTAGAGGAAAAAAATCACATTAGAAGATAACCCTTTTTTTTTTTCATGTTTCAAAAACGTACTTCTGAACAAACTGTTTCTATATAAAATATATTGATTTCACTTAAGCAATGTCAATTATTTTAGCAGTTTTTCTTACTGCTTTCTCAAAATATAACTGGCAAATCAAAGATTCTTAGTTTGCCTATTTTTTAAATATCAGAATCACATACTATCTATAATGGTATCAAAAAAAGTCATTGTTACCTGGATTTCCTCCCAATATGGCCCCCCTCGGGGGAATATGAAGTAGTTGTAAACATCCTTCATCCGGGTAGAGTCGTATTTGTTTGGACTGATGTTTATCATCCATGGTCTACCATCACCACGAACACGCAGGTATAGACTATTAAAATTTGACCAATCGTATAATTTTGTACGATGAAAAGCAATCTACCAAAATATATAATATTACTCTTACTATTTCACCAATTATTACATTTGGGAAATTCCCCTTCCCCTCTCCCTTGATATGAGGCCTTATTAACATTATTCTGTTTACCACTGAGATATTTTTCTTGTTCTATTAATCTATTCTATCTTTTTCACATAATTAATTGTCATGACAACTGGACTGTCTCATAAATATTCATACTCTATATCTCATCAGAATTTTAGGACCTAATCAGCAACTGAACACAACCAAAAAAATACTGCACTGACACAATTTGTATCTGCCCCACTCTAGTTGAAAAAAGGTTTTTCAATTATTCCTGGACAGGATATCTAAAACGATCAAAGTTTCTGGGCTAGTAAAATTGTGGTTACAATGTCAGTTTCCACACACAGTTAGACTAATGTGCCTGTGCTTGAAGGTGACACTTGAGGGTAACAGAATGTAACATTAGAGCAGCAGACAGGAAAATTCTAGACATTTGTTCCCCAAACAATATCTATAGCAAGGTTTGACATGTTACACTGTATCACTGCTTCACAACAGATGGTAACTGACAGCCTAATTTTACAAGCCTCATCGATTTGCTTATTAACCACTATCAATGAAGAAGCAAATATAAAATAATCCATACCCCTCCCCAAACAGAATTGAAAGATAGATAAAACGGCTAGGAAGAAAGTGAGTTTTAACATCATGATAGATTCTATCAGTTTGGAAAAAAACAAACTTTTAAAAATCACTTGTTTTAATGAAAAGGAACAAAGTAATTCATACATATGTACTGTATGCCATTCAATGAACCATTCCTTAAGATTAAAAATAAAGGCAAAATCTCCCTCGACAAACCTGAATCCTGGTGACTACGTGGGCATCTTTGTGATTTTTTCCCATTTAGGCCAAGATCTTGGGATTCTTGGCAGTCTCTTGTTGTTTACTACTCCTGTTTAGTTTTTCAAGATCATTCAAGTCAACTACATACTGGGACCAGCTGTAACTTACTTAAGACTAGGCTCCATTAAATGCAGGGGTTTTATTTCTGAGCAACCATTGACAAGATTGGACAGCAAGTCTCATTCCATATTACAAAAGGAACATGTTTGGCAATTCTTTTAAGAAATCTGTAACTTGGGGAAAATTATAAGCAACATTTTTTAAATCTTGCACTTTGACAGTTATCTCTCTGCCTGGGATTTAAATTCTTAAGATAATGGCTGAGTGACACTTTATTTAAAATCACATCATTTGTTCAATTATATCTTCTTAAATGAATTGGCTAGGTTCTTACAAAATACTAAAAACCATACAGCATGGTTTACAAGCTGCTTGATTGGGTTCATAACTCACGCAAAGCCAAAACTAAGCAAACTACTTTAAAACAAATGCAACTATTACTTTTAAGATGGCCGTTGATCAAAATTAATAAAATCTAATTTAATCAGACTATGATTTAGCCATTATGAGAGTCTTAGTCTGATATAATATAGACCTAACAAAAAGTCTGTACAGCATTTATAGCTGGTGAAGTTTTATTTTAAGCATTATTTCACAGAGGCATTTCACTGTCTTAGTATACACAAGGATACTTAAACAGGGAATGTGGCACATTTTCTCCAGCTAAGCCAGTGGTTCTTAAGATGGTACTTGATCTTAAACAATGGAGTAATTTGGGCATATCCTGGGGGTAATGGAGCAATCTGTAATTGCTTCTTTGTGAGTCAGGGATCCAGTTTACAAGTTTGTATAAAACAACAAAGTCTGGGTTTTTTGGGGGGGGGGCATAATGATATTATTCAAGGCCAGGAAAAGGGGTAACTGGGTCAGAGAGTTTAAGAACCACTGAGCTAAGCAAACCAAACATGTAATCATTTATGGCAAGGTTAACTTATTCCTGGTCCTTAATACCAGAATCTATAGATGTTTACTTTAATTCCAAGTAAGTGGTTAAAATCCTTTTGTGTATAAGCATATTTTTATTTATCCTATAGGACTTTCCCATCCTCTCTTCTCCCCTGCAATCCTATAATGCCCCAAATCTCATTTTGATAATTTCTCAGCCCTGCAGGCCAGAGGTACATGTAGTTGATCTGAAACAGATTACCTCTTGACTACTATGCTGTTGAAAGCCACTCCAACAGGGGTAAGAGCTAACTGTGGTGGGATACAGCCCAATTTAAGAATGCAGCATTACTATTATTCTCCGCTTTGAAAAACAGTATTAACATGGGAATAGTATTTTTTGGAAGAGATTTCAGTCTTGGCTTAAAGAATAAACCACTCTTTAAAATGTGAATATGATTGTACTCACCACTTCTGGTTTTGATACCATGGCACAATATCCACTATATTTTGTCACTCCATCACGAGGTACAGTAGTATTGAGGTTCCCATACAGGATAGCAGACTGTTTATTCTTATGTAGTTTTATATAGATTTCACTTTTCCCTCCAATCTCTGCATCAGAACTGAGCACCCATTTATTTAAATCTTGTTCATTACGAAATTCCCACAACACTTTCGTCTGATTCAACATATAATCTTCTAGTTGATTTTGGTTGATGTCTTTCAAAAAATCAACTATCTCTTTCTTTAAGAGTCCACACTGTGTTTTGATTTCTTCCACTCCTTTCTTAAAATTGACATCAACGTTTTTCCATGGTGAAATTTTGCCAATAGATGTTCCTGGTTTCTGATAGCTACTGTACCACCTTGAATGGTAACCATCCGCAAGAGTCCTATACAAGCTACTTTGCCAGCGGTATTTGTTTAGCAAAAAGAGAGAATCCAGCATCATGAAAGATGAAGCCATAAATGAATATTGATGAGCAGCTTCCCTTATCCAAACAAAAATACTGGTGTCTATTTCTGATTAATGCTGTTTACCTCTACCTGTTATAATACAAATAGAAATATTTTTAAGACAAAGTTTTTAGTTTAATTTACTTTCCCAAATATACCAAGATGTTTATACCTTATTAAATGTATTATCATAAGCAACACTATCAGTAACATAAGAGCTGCATAAACAAAACAGATACCATACTATATACACAATATTATTAAAACAAAAAATAAATACCAATAAACCTAGCCTGTTCAGTTGTGATACCTTTACTGCTATGGAAATAAAAGAAAATAAATATGTAATGAAAGGATGATATCCCATTTGTGTTTTAAGAGAACTGCACACGTACACATAAACCCAGCAACATGAACAGTCTGGAGAATACTAATTATTTAAACTTATTTTAACTTTTAGCCAGGATATTGGGCCAAGTTACATTGCTGGATAGCCTTCACCAAAAATTGGAGGGAGGGAATACAGTTGCTTCAGTTCCCTCAAAGGTCTTGGTGCCTTTCAACAGCATAAACCATAATAATCTTTTGTGATAAATTGGGAGGGTGGGACATTGCACATTTTTAAAAAATAATAATTTCAGTCTTTCCTGCCAAACTGTTCAGAAGATGGTGCTGGGAAATCAGCCCATTCATTGCTCAGTGGCGTTTTGCAGGGCTACATCTTGAAGCCTATACTTTTCAAATCACTGGGAAAACTCACCCAGAGCTTTGGAGTGAGATGCCATCACTACGCAGACAACACTTGGATGTCCTATTCCTTACCATCCAGTTCCAAAGTAGCAGTTGCTTCCTTTGACCAATGCCTAAATTTGGTTGTGTGCTGAATGAGGCTGAAAAAAGTAAAATCAATTGAGGCAAGATGGATGCGCTGTGAGTCAGTAGGAATCTGTTCTGGATGGAGCAGCACTTCCCCTGAAACAGCAGGTCTTTAGTCTGAAATGCTCCTTGATTCCCAGCTGTTTATGCATTCCCTAATGTTGACACTAACAGGGAGTACAAATTACGTTTAATGTACCAGCTTCAGCCAAGGCTTGGTTACATCCCACTTTCATTGTTTCAATGTACTCTACATGGGACTATTCTTGAGGAATGTCCAGAAACTTCAATTCGGGAAAAATGTAGCAGCCAGTGTACTAACAGGTACACAATAAAAGCAGCTTACGTGACTTGGTTCTTGGCTACCTTAGGAATTGCTTATCTTAATATGAACCTGTCCATGCATTAAAATCAATAGGAGAGGTTTCCTTAAAGATGTACTCAACCTTAAAAATATATTTTACACCTTTCTGATATATTTTAGCCCTTAGTTTATACATGTAAAATGTAAAATACAGTTTACAGTACAATCCAAAGACCTAATGTGAATTGCTTGAGAGAGTTAAGATGTTGCATAGATGCCTCTCCACCCACAGAAGACAGAGTTTAGGTGGAGGGAATGGATACAGTGGCCTCTATTATGTCTGAGCTAATATAAAGCTGTCACTGGCCTGTGATTCTGTTAGATGTGCCAGATCCCAAGTCATTCTGTCCCCTAAGATGCACCTGATCTACATACTTCATTTATAGCAGCCCTAGAACTAATGTAACTAATTTCCCTTTTATTTCTCCTCCACTGTTGTTAATGAGAATGTAATATGACAAAAGGCTTTGCCTTGCCAAAAGAGATAGGTTAAGCATGAACCTCTGTTTTGCCATAGTATAATTTTTAAACAGCACAAAGGACCCCATCATTTCAACCTATTTTCTGTGGAGTCCTTGGGGTTCTCTGAGCTTGGTTCTTTTCTTGCAAACGTTTCATTATCCGGCTAGGTAACATCTTCAGTGCTAGAATG